TGACTATGAACCCTTTGTCTGGAACTATGCCTCTTTCTACTTCAAACACCATGTCAGGATCGACTGTTGTTATGGGGGTGCTGTTGACGCTAATATGCCTCAACATATGGCGATTGTCAGCTCTCCCGTTGTCTCCAGCTCCAACGAGCATGTTAATCCTGTTTTCCCTTCAACTTGGGAGGAGGCTTTCCTTAGTGCCACTACCACAGTCCATTCTAGTCATCAACAAGACCAACTGCAGGTTGGATCCTGGAATGCCAACTCGTTGAATCCCCACATTTATGAAGCCCAAGCTTTGGGATTGGATATCCTTGCCATTCAAGAAGCCAGAATTAGTCAAGATATCGTTCCTGGTATCAGAGCATCGCTTGGCAAAAATGGTTATAAACTCTTTCACGGCACTCTGCCATCTTTTAAACTCCAGGGACATAACCGTAAAGCACTCCATATCGACCAGACGGTTCCTGGTGTTGCTTTCATCGTCAAAGAACACATCCCTGTTCAGGAAGTTTTCTTTGAAGAATTGCGGCATTGGGAATCTCGCGGCAGATTCTCTGCACTCAAGGTCTTTATCAATAGAAAATGGGTTTTGCGGTTCAATGCCTATGCGCCTACACAAAATAGCGCTCCTTTTCTCAGCGACGTCACTCAGTTTCTTATTCAGCATGCGCATACGGATTGCATTTTCTTCGCTGACATCAATGCTTGTTCTAGGGAAGGTGACTTTGTTCAGGAGGTTTCTTCAGTTGGTTGGTTCCCCCTTACCATCAACACTCCTTCTAGTTTCTTTACCTTCAAGCATTCTTCTGGCAGTACTTCCTGCATTGACACAATTATGGTTACTGACCAGCTAAAAGAAGAAGTTTCGCCTATCCAGCAGAGGCCTGTTCTGAAAATAGGTCATAATGCCATCACTTGCAGCCTTCACCAGCATAACACACAAAAACCATCATGGGAAATTTTCCATAAGGTCTGTTATGAAAACCCCGCCGATGCGGAGGAACAATGGCGCAATGCATACGAGAATTATTACCAAGCCAATGCCCCTACAAGTGTTCAAGAAGATTGGACTGCCTGGTGCGATGCTTTCCAAAAAGTTCATAACACTACTGGTCATTGCCTTGGCAAGAAACCTGCGTTCCGAATCCGGGATACTTATCGTAAGAATCAGCTCATCGGCAAACTCCAGCAGGCTGTCTTGGCGCAAGACTGGATTACACAAAAACGCATCAACGACAAATTGAAGCAGTTTGACAAAAACCAGATCCGGAAATGGCAGAAAAACCTTCAGCCTAAAGGACAAAAGCAAAGTGACTGGCTCAAGCATCTCTTTCGTTGGGTGCGCTCTGCACCTGCCCCAATGCCCTCCTGTATTGAGAGCGCTGCATACGGTAAAGATGGGTACACTACTTCCGTCGTTGATTCCTTAAAGGAAATTCAGGATTTTTTTGAAAAGGTTTACAAAACTGCTGACGTCGAGCAAGCTGTTCTTGACCATGACTTGAAAGCAGTCGCGTTTGAACCGGACCAAAATTCCTTTTGTCTCATACAGAAAACCTTGACAAAAATTATTCGGAACTCTGACGCAAGTAAAGCTCCCGGTATCGATGGTCTCCAGGTGCAACATTACAAAAACCTCAGCCCCAGCGCTGTGAAATTTCTTGCAAGGATTTTTTGCAAAGCCATTCATGTTGGACAAACTCCATTGTCTTGGCTCAACTGCAAAATGTCTTGTATTCCGAAGCGACAAGGTAAAATCCGAGTCAAAGACCTTAGGCCTCTGACTATCGCGCCTGTTGCCTATCGGCTCTTTTGCAAAACTCTCCTTGCGTTGCACGAAAGTTGTCAGTCGAACGTTCCTGCTAATTCCATAGGAGGTGTTAAGGGTCGATCTGGGCACAGTGCCTGGCTACCAGCGACCATTCATTGCGAGGCCACTTGGAGAAAAGTTGTTGAATCACGTCGCGCCCTCCAAGGTGTCGCCATTGACACCGAAAAGTTCTTTGACAACATTCAACAATCTGACGCTTGTGAAGCTTTGCGTTACATCGGTATCCCCACTGATGTTATCCGGTCTTGGCAGTTTATGATACAGAGAATCAGACGTTTCGCTTCGTTCAATGGAGCTATCGCTCCTGAAGGTTTTTGTTCCGCGAAAGGTTTGCCGCAGGGTGACCCCCTGTCTATGTTAGCCGCAGCCGCCTTCCTTGGAAAGTGGACATATGAGATGCCCAACCAAGATCTGCTGGCGAAAGTTTTCGTCGACGATAGATTGCTTCTAGGCTTCTGTAATGAATCGCTCCTTCATGCTTTTCACACCACTGAATTTTGGGATACTCATCATGGGTTTTCAACTTGTGCAAAGACCACTGCATTTGGTACGAATGACCCTACGCATAATCTTTGGTGGATGAATGGGTATGAAGTTAAAAGGGATTGCACCGTTGTGTATCTTGGAGTCCCGCTTCCTTTTGAGAAAATGCGAGCTGCCAAATTTTTTGAGCCCCTTCTGCAGCAATGTGTCATCGCTTTGAACAAGGTTATCCGTGCAAAACTCACTAATGAGAACGCTACGACCATCATTGCCCGTAAGATCATTCCTATGCTCTGCTATGCCGCCTCTGTCGTAAGACCCACAAAAGCCCAAATTGCAAGCATAAGAGCAAAAATCTTTGAAGCTGCTTCAAACAGAAAATGTCAAACGCAACTTGCTCACACGATCTTCTGCGAGAAAGCGCAGATGTTTGATCCTGAGGTTGCGATGATTTACCACAATCTTCGGTTTTGGCGCAAAATATATGTTGATCACCCTGAGTTTGTCGAACTGCTCAACGACACCGTTGAGCATCTTGCGCCTTGCAAGCACTCGCTTTTTGGTCCAGTCACTTTGCTTCTTGCTGACGTTGCGTGGCTTGGCTGCAGTATCAACGCCAAGGATGGTCTCATCATCAAACAAGATCAGACCCATATCTCTTTCAAAGATTTAGATAAGCAAAAGTTTTTACATGAGATTAGACAGCTTATTCGTCAAAAACTTTTGTTAGACCTGAGCAGCAAACATCCAAAATGGAATGGGGTCCAATGTGCTAATCTTGATATCTCTTGTAAGCTTTTGCGCAAAATGGATACTAGCTGCACTTACAGGGTTCCGCTGATCAGACTCCTTACCGACGCGCATGCCACCCCTGCACGGCTTTTTAAAATGGGTATAAAGGCCACTCCCCATTGTCCTTATTGTCTTCATGAAAATGGAGACATTGAGCACATAATTTGGGCTTGCCCCAGGTTCAGAATGCATCGTGCTGATTGGGACCCGGTGCTACTGGATAGGAGTAACTGGCCTGCATGCGCTACGCATGCATTAATCTTCACTGACGACATGAATGATAGCCTTAAAGACAAATGGCACGTTTTTCAGATTCATGTTTCACAGCTACTGTCACAATGGATGGAGCTCAATCGCCATCCTGAGCTGTATGAACAGTTTGCACCTGGATCCTCTCTCCCTGCGCAGCCAATACAGACGCGGGACGAGCCTTGCCTAGTCCAAGATTCCATTACTCGGCAGTGTGAACCACTACCACTTGATTGGAGGCCACCGGCTAGTCGCACTGCCATCAACCAATGGGGTAGTGCTTTAACTGACTACAGCCTCATCTTTCAGTTTTGGGCACGATGCACCATGCACCCCCATCCTAAAGCCACTAGAATTCGCACGTGGTCGCATGCCTTGGCACTTTTCGTTCAAAATGGTGGTCATCTTTCCACGTTCCTTTATGAATGTCAGTTCATAGGCATGGCCGCTCATAAGTTTCGACTCCTGTCACGCAAACTTCTTGAAGATCAAGATTTCTGGGATGACCTTCCCGATTTTGAAAATGAAGCTGCAGAGAAAATTAGATGGCTTCCCACTTTTCCCAAGGAAAGCGCGTTTCCGCCTTCTGTTTTCTACACTCCCCAGTGGGATCTTGTTGATGTTGCCATGAGAGTGCAGCGTATCTTCATCGAACACAAAATTGAGGAACAAGTCAACACACACGTGCTGCGGATCACTCCCGCCGACTTCTGTACGGCCTTCACTGACAAGCAGCCTGTTTTTAGGAATGAAATGATCAGCAAAAACTGGGCTTTGCCGCGTTTGTTTTCTAAAAGCAGACCGCCGCCTTGGATTGCTCTTGTCAATGAGTTAAAAGCCAACCGTAACCCTCCTGACATAAAAATTACTTGTATTACTCAACTGTCACTTGACACATGGAATTCTATGACCGCGCTTGAAATTCGTAATGCTTTACCTGCGAAGCCAGGACCGCTTAAACGTTTCAAGGCGGCCATCAACAGAATTACTAGATTTCAGGATGCGCTTGAAAGGTTCAAAGCCAACCAAACTCTTGAGAACACTTGCCGTACGCACATCCTCGAGCCAAGTTGGGCACAGACTGAAAGATGTGCTGCGTGCAATGCGCCGATCAACTTCTCGTGTGAACCGCGCAAGCTTACGCGCAAATGCCCGAAACCTAAAGACTTCCCTGTACAGATGTTGGACTCCTGGTCCCAAAGCTACGAAGAAATGCTTCGACTTCTGCAATCTATTTGCAGCAAGTTATAAATTATTGAATTCTTTACATTTGTTTGTACACATTCTTTGAGGATGCACACGTCGTCCTTCGTTTCGCTCTTCGTCGACAGGCTTTCGCCCGCATCCACCCCAACACCTTATACTACTTATTAGGCCCCCTATATTCTCGACCTGGCTGAGGAAGGCGCCAGGGCAATCACAAGACCGTAGATAAAGCCCTCTGTAGGAACCCTTGAAAGGAGCCCCTTCAATTCAAGAAGACCATAAAACGACCCTTGTCGAAACCTTGTAAAGAACAGTTTAGGCCGGCGCCAGGGCAATCACAAGACCGTAAATACTGTAAACCCTACAACCCTAAACCCCCGTAACCCCTAAACCCCAAACACCCAACGAATAGTCTGTTCTGCTGTGCTAAGGCGAAGACCAAGGCAATCACAAGACCGTAGATGGTCAGGGACTCCATGAATGCAAGGGACAGCAGCCTCGGGTTACTATAATTGGGATAAGAAATGCTCATGTTTATAGGCTTACTGTTGGAATAGTATAAGGATTGCTTTGGGTTACTACAATTGGGATAAAGACTTGCTAATTGCAGGTTTAAGTTTGGATTACTATAAGGATTGCTTCGGGTTACTATATATGGGAGTTTCCGAAAATAGGGAACCCTAATATCCAAAATAAGGTACACCTATTTTCGGAGACTCTAAACCCTGAACCCTTTATAGATCCCTTTAAGGAACCCTTAAACGGATCCCTTTAGAAGGAAGGTTACATAAGGTTACTATATATAACTCCCAGATGGTTTCCTTATCATGGTAACTTAAACTAAAGCCCTTACTTTGGGATTACTATAAGGGTTGCTTTGGGTTACTATAATTGGGATAAGACTTGCTAACTGTAGGTTTAAGTTTGGAATACTATAAGGATTGCTTTGGGTTACTATATATAATGGACCATAGGAATGCCACCTCGGATCAGGGTTCGGGGGTTTATGCGAGGGCAGTCGGGTTTTGTGGCTGATGCATACTAATATATATATATATATATATATATATGTGTGTATATATATATATATATATATATATATGTGTTTATATTAGTATGTGTATATATATATATATATATGTGTGTGTGTGTGTTTATATTAGTATATGTGTATATATATATATATATATATATGTATGTATATTACTCTATATATACATATATTGATATTAATATACATACATATATATGTTAATACATATGTATATATGTATCATGTGTTTACACCTCTACAGAGTATAAATATAAATATAAATATAAACATAAATATAAATATATATATATATATATATATATATATATTTATTTATTTATTTATTTGTACAAGCGAAAATACTTCCTAAAGAGATAAAAGGGTCGGGAGCCTTTCGGGACAACAGGCATTTTTTTCAGTAAATTCGGCTTTGGCGGATTGACGTGGAACGCCAGCGAAGGGTCATTGGACTTGGTAACTGGGGTTCTAAACAAGGTACCTATAGTTATAAGTACTTCCATCCAAGTCCCGTGATCTTGCAAATACGGTCTAGGGCTCAGTGTGCAGGGTCTTCCGTCGCGGTAATCGTGCGAGGACGAAGGGCGAGAGAGCTAGGTGCGGGAAGATGTGACAGTGAAGCGCTACATGCCTGCAATGACGATGACAGCAGTGACCAGCATGATAATGATGCGTGGTGATTTTCATGATGATGAGGACGAAGATGATGCCATTTATGGCATGGGTTCTTGATGAGGACAGTCCATGAATACGCATTGATTTCATGACTGACTTCGCCCGCATGGCACAAGGTCCTCAAACCGGAAAATGAATGCTTGCGGGATGACGTAACCGCAACCCAAATTCCGACCAGACCCTAAACCGAAACCCGACTTCCTTCCTGGGCTGGCTTCAGTTGAGCAGCAGCACACCACGGAGGTCATCCGCAACCTTCTGGCTGTCTTCAAAAAGCGATGGGCTTACAGGGTCACCGTCCGCGTGACCTACAAAAAAGATAGTGCTAGAAGTGCCACTTCTCGCAAGCACGGGCAGGAATGGTCTGGCAGCTAGACGCTACAAAGTCGGCGTCTTGATCATTGCCAGTGGCGCCAGCAGTCCAAGAGCTACCGTCATAATCATCATGACTAGGCCCACAATTCCCACCCTGCCGAGTTTTAGCCGTGCCTAAGTCAATACGGTTTATGACTTGGGGTTCAAGGGAACTTCAAATGATGGTCGGTATTTAGTCGCACATAGCTTCCCCAGCAAGCCCGTAACAGCCTGGCAATCACGGTGCCCACTTGCGTACTGTCCAGCCTTAATACTGAATCTCCAGGAAAAAGAAGCCACACTACAGGCTTTCCTTTAGCAAGCCGGTTGCGAAACCGAAACCCTATAATAATTAACCTGAGGCGGTGTAGGCACACACGCCGCCACCTGGGTTTGCAGGGCTGCTATTCTCACATGCCCTGAACTTAGCCATAGACATGCCTAAACCTTAACCCGGGAACCCTAACCTGCAAACTCTCAGACTCAAAACCCTCTAGCTTGAACTCAAAACTACTGAAGTCCCACGAGCGACTCATCAGATCCGCGCAACAAAATAGTGTCGGGTACTACTGACAAGCACTGATGGCGGCGACGTGGTGAATATCCTCGCTGTTGCTGTCCTTGCTTTCTCTCTCGTGGGTTTTTTCTACAGACAGCATCACCATGCGAGGAACAGTGATCTGCTACGCAGCGACAATGTTACAATCAGTACCACCTTTCTGATACAGTTCTCACAGACGGTAGTCACTGCAATGATGAACAAAAACCAATGATAACGAATAGTGCCCATTCCTTAAAGGACCAATGCTTGTTTCCCCAAAGGTCCAAGACAAGTAGCTAGTAATCATATACTCGCTCCAGACGCTCAAAATCTCCATGCTGTGTACTGTGGTTACTACTAACCTACATAACTGCGATCCTAAAACCCCAAGTAGCTAGTAATCATATGATTACTCTCTATGGTTCATACGAACCTACATAACTACGATCCTAAAACCCCAAGTCCCCATTATTGGGTCCTTTTGACCCCTAGGGTTGGACAACCCGTGCTCTGCTTCCTGCAGAAGGCCTCCGGCTGGCGGGAGATGCCATCAATGCAACGGCCGCTGGCAATGCCCTGAAAGGGTATGATACTGTTGATGCTCTAAATCGCGCATTGCCTTAAGGACCCTTAAAACTATGGGAATTGTGGTAGATTCCTTTATTATGGGTAATGCAGGATTTATGTCATCAACCGTAGGGTGGGAGAGGTAGGGTGGGAAACATGGAGCCTGTTTGGTTAGGACTCAGTTAAGGGTCTGCTTGGAGGGTCGGGGGACTTAGTAACTGGCTATTTCAGGGACTTAGAAGTACCATAACACCAATTAGGGTCCCTTTTAGGGTACTTATAAGTCTACTTACTACCTACTTACTAAGTCCCTGAACCCTTAACCCTAAACCCTATAGTACCCCTATAGAGCCCTTTAAAGGAACCCGTAGAATACCCTTCAAAGGAGCCCCCATACTAAGTCCCCTAAAGACCCTCCAAGTAGGGAGTTTCGGGTTTGGGGCTCGGAGCTCGGAGAGTGTGGGGTTCAGGGTTCAGAGATGCTCAGAGGATTGAGGGTTGAGAGTTTCGGGGGGCGGCCCGGTTTTGGCTTTGGTGCTTTGGCAGCTGAAGACTGCAGCCGGTTGACACATAGTTCGAAGTGTGGTGATATGCACCTTCATTCGCAGAGTAAGGAACTGAGGCAGCTACACTCACTTTACCTCTGTATCGCCGTATGTACTAAATCCAGGCTTGTTATGGGTCTGGTCACGGAAAGTGCTTGCACAAGACGTTTAAGAATATGTGTGGATCGGGCCGCAGAAAAGAAGGACAGCCCTCCTCATTGGCTCGCGCATTCCAGACGGAGGCTGCTGACGACAGCATCTACAGCGAATGTCTCTTTGGCGCCCGGGTCTAAACTCTGGGAGTAGTTCTCTAAATTTAGGGTTCTCTTCGCATCGCCAACTGGAAACGTCTTCAATCGAATGTCAGAACCCATTCAAAACCCCCACTTCAAGCATAAAGCCCCACCTCAGGACATCCCGGGACACCAAACACGATCTGCACCAAGAATAAGCAAACTACTACTACTACTACTACTACTACTACTACTACTACTACTACTACTACTACTACTACTACTACTACTACTACTACTACTACTATTACCACTACCACTACCACTACCACTACCACTACTACTACTACTACTACTACTACTACTACTACTACTACTACTACTACTACTACCTTCTACTACTGCTACTGCTACTGCTACTGCTACTACTACTACTACTACTACTACTACTACTACTACCGCTACCACTACCACTACCACTACCACTACCACTACCACCACCACTACCACTACCCCACCACTACCACTACCACTACCACCACGACCACTACGACCACTACTACTGCTACTACTACTACTACTACTACTACTACTACTACTACTACTACTAGTGGCTGAAATGAGGTTCACGTCAATGGCAACATAAAACCAGTAGAGGGTAGTGAGTGTTCCAAATATTAGTAAGCTGGAAGATCCGACAAGGTTCTATGTCCTAAACCTTGAAAGCTCAACCCCCCTTACAAACAACCCTTGCAGATTATGTAAGCCACCCCTAGAGTTTAGAGATCCCTTATGGACCCCTAAAAGGAACCCTTAAGAATTCCTTGTAAGGCCCGTATGTTATGTGAGCCTGTCCCACGCCGGAGCCGATAGCGGCGAGGCCGATCGCGAAGCCAGCGCCGATGGCGGAGAGCGCAGGGATCCACACGGCGCCACCCTTTCCCAATTGAGTGCTTAGAAACCGACTGTACGAATAATCGAGGTGCATGCACCAAAGATAATAATAATACTAATGATTTAACAGTAACAGTAAGTTAGAATCGAAATGGCTGCCATCTTGCATAGGCCCTCGAGCTTGAATAGCCTCTGCGTGAGCGGCTTGCGGGGCCATAAGCGTCACGGCACCTCGGGAGGTGCCAAATGACATCGCCGTGTGCTTGGTAGATGTAGTGTGTGGGTTTAGGGAAGCTTTGGCTTAGCGAGATCAGATAACCCTTATAGTACCCTTATAGTACCGTTTAAAGGAACCCTGTTTCCTGCACTTTCGACATGCGTGGGTACTGGTTTGCAGAGTTCGAGCATTGGGGAGTGCAGGATTACTTGGAGGCCCATAGGTAGCTATAAGTGCGGTTCCAAGTCCCTTGCGGAAATATGGGTTATAAGTATAGTTGCCCTACCCTAAACTCTAAGCCCTAGACCGCCCTAATCCCCAACCTGCAAGTTGGGTTCAAGGGTTCAGGGATGTTTTGATGACCCGATGCCTCGAGCTCTCTCAGAGTTTAGGGTTCAAAGAGTTTGGGTTTCGGGCAATTTGTCACGAACCGCACAAGGAGTGGTCTAAGGTTTAGGGCACAGTTATTTCGTTCAAGTTGCCACAATAAAGAAAAATAAAATCTACTATAAAACCCTATGATGGTAAACTTAAGCTAAACTCTTTAACAAGAACCCAGTATAAGCAGAGTTATCATCGCCCCGAGGCTGCCACAGAGAACCGGACAACTCCCAAAAACACGAACCCGGAACCCTGGCCCCGAAGCCTGTACCCAGAGAGCGCAATACTCCTTAAATCTTTAGGGTTTATAGGGTTTAGGGTTTAGGGTGTAGGATTTAGGGTTTAGGATCAAGGAATATGCCTTAAATTCTAGGGGCCTTGATATTATGGTTGAAGGTATACTCCTTAATTAAGGGGTATGGGGCTCTCTGGGAACCCTTTGCAGCCGGGACGCTGAGAGCTGCAGTCGTCGCATGAGGCGCGGTCGGGGCTGGCGCGGCGCGCGGGGCGGCCACAAAGGCCGTGAAGAGGGCGCCTTTGTCTTAGAATATTGCAAAAACCTGGTTTAGAAACCCTTGTGCACGACAACTATAGAATTCCGGATCCATTTTGAAGAGGTATGTGACTCAGGCTCCCATCTTTGAGATTACTGGTGGGTTTAGGGTTTGAGGCTTTTGGGTGTAGGGAATGATGCTATTTATGGAGGTCGGGGGGGTTTAGGGCTTCAAGGGTTAGCGATTCACGGTTCGAGGTGTCGGGATTTTGAGACCAAACCTGAAATCGAAGAGGCGTGCAAGCACAGAAAACTGCCACAGAAAGTATGCTTTGGTGTCCGGGATGTGGACACTGGATGGCTTTGGATCGCTTTCGATTTCTTGGTCATGTTCCCGTTCGACAGATGTCAGCCTCAGCCGATTGTTACTGGTAATGTACTTGGAGGTTCATGGGTAGTTATAAGTGGGGTTATAAGTAAGGTCACTGTGAATGATAACCCATATTAAATATTAGGGGACCTATAGCCCCACTTATAACTAGCCATGAACCTCCAAGTAGAAACCCTGGCCCTGCAACCCCCAACAACTTAAGATTCTTATGGGAGTTTCCGAAAATTAAGGGTACCTTATTTTGGGGGGCCTTATAATAAGGATCCTATTATTTAGGGTACTATATTAGGGTCCCCTAGTTTCGGAAACTCCCATATACAGAACCCTAATGAAGACCCGAGGTTTCTTGATCAGGTTCCGCCTAGGTTACCCAGTAACCTAAGAATAAGGAGGCCTCTCTTTTTGGTGTTGGGTAACTTTATAAGGAACCTAGGACTACAAAAAGGGAATAAGGGTACTACTGGGCATCCTAGTAGCAGAGCGAGCTTCATTAAAACTTAAGGCAGCTTGTCCGGGGTGCGTCTAGTCAGGATGCTACCATGTTTCGGGTGTCGGATGCTGGCACAGGGAGTGTAGTGTATCCTCATGAACTAGCTCATGAAGTCGGGCGTGTGCTACAAGAGAGTTGGACTTTGAGTCGTGCACGACGAGGGTGAGACAGAAAGAACAGACGTGTGCTGCTACAATCGCCTCAACTTCGCGATGATTCTCCTTTGCACACCCTTTTGCCCTTAAAGATCCCTTAAAGATCCCTTTATAGGAACCCTTAGAGGATCCCTTAAAGATCCCTTTTAGGGAGCCCTTGAAGGAGCCCTTGAAGATCCTGCACAGACTGACCCAAACCGCGGTATAAGTCCTACTTTACTCCACTGGGCACTGATTTTACTTTGCAGCCATCCTTCCCTCTTCGCCTCCGATCCCTGACTAACGGGCGTAGGGTTTAGGGTCTAGGGTTTAGGATTTAGGGTTTAGGAGCCCGGCGAAATGCCTGAACCTAAAGTACTAAAAGAAATATCCTGCAACGGGGTATGCTGCGATACTGTACCATGAACCCTAAAGCCCCGATCCGAGGCCCCAACCGGTGGACAGGAGCACAGCACCGGTCAAAACGAGGGAGCGGGCCATCCTAAGAACATGGAAAAGGGTTTAGGCCTTTCTGTATCCTGTAAGGGTTCGGTGATTCTGCAACTTTCTGTATCCTGTGAGGGTTCTGTGATTCTGCAAGAGATCCAACAAGCGTTCCATAACGACACTGTGGAGGGGATCCTTAAACGGGTTGTGCCTCGGAAGTTGGCGACTAGGCCCTGAGGGTTGGGTCTAAGATAGGTTTCGGAGTTTGTACCCGTAAAATGATGATGATGACGATGCTTACGATGACAGTGATCCGTGTGGGAACTCATATAGTAGCCATTCAAGCAATTGCCGTGGTAACCCTTACGACAGCATGCATTAGCACCCCTCATATAATCGACGGGGAGCTTTAGGCTTGCTGCAGGCGGCGCCTTGGAGGCACCACCGTCTGATATAACTGCCTAGCCAATTGGTCTCTCGTTTTGGTTGGAAGGGAGGAGTGACGTCTGTAGGCAACCCTAAGGATGGTAATGCTAAAAAACCAACGCCGTACGTTGACTCTTTCACGCAGCACTCGGGCGGAAGGATGGGACCGGAAGACGCGATCCTTCGTTGAACTGGTTGAACAGCTTGAGTTAGGGCTAAACGCCCAGAGTTTATGGTGGTGGCAATAGCACTAGCAGAAGCAGCAGAAGCAGCAGGAGTAGCAGCAGTAGCGGCAGTAGTAGTAGTAGTAGCAGTAGTAGTAGTAGTAGTAGTAGTAGTAGTAGTAGTAGTAGTAGTAGTAGTAGTAGTAGTAGTACAGGGTTTTCGGTTTGATAAGCCAATTCAACCAGATTCAAACCCTGAAGCCTCCACAACTCCTGCCACGATGCTTGTAGTGCTGGGGGCGGATGTGGGGGAGCAACGTGTCGGCAACGAACTATTGGGCCGAGAAGCAGCAGATTCAGCTGTGGTTCGTTAGCTTAGGATTAAGGGTTTAGGGTTGATGGCTTCTTGTAGCACCTGCCCTGAGACCGAGATTCCTAAACCCCTACTGGTTTCGACCGTGGTCCCTGCTTCATGTTCGAGATTTGCGATTCCACATGTAGGACTTGCTTAAGGGCTCCATATCTCCCAAGGAGGTACGGCTTCTAGATGTTTGACTCTGGGGCAAATACTACGCATTGTACCCTGCTCGCATGAAATCCTGGAAGAGCCCTATAAGAGCCACATAAATGTCGTATGAACCGCTGCACAACCTTATAGCAACCACATAAGAGCTCATGCAGTCCCCCACGGAAACCCGTATAACAACACACAAACCCCCAAGTGGAAACCCTCTAGCACAAACAAACACCCGAAAACCGGTAAACACCTATACTAAGTTCCTTCGTATCCCCTTAATTTTAGCAAGGGAACCCTAAAAGACAAAGAGCAAAAGGGTGCTATTGGCTTCCCTTTAAAGCCCTAAACCCCTATCGATCCATTATAAAGCCCTTTAAGGAGCCCTTTACGGGTACTACTGGGGAACTTACTTGGAGGGTCGGGGGACTTAGTAACCGGGTATTTTAGGGACTTATAAGTACCATAACCCCAATTGGGGTCCCTTTTAAGGATACTTATAAGTCTACTTACTACCTACTTATTAAGTCCCTGAACCCTAAACCCTAAACCCTATAGTACCCCTATAGAGCCCTTTAAAGGAACCCTTAGAATCCCCTTCAAAGGAGCCCCCATACTAAGTCCCCCGACTCTCGTAGTAGTTTAATAAATCATGGGGCCTCCGGGGCAGACCTGGGTCTTCCTGGATGGTCAGGGTCCAAGGGACAGTGCATTTAGAGTGTAGTGTCTCCGGGTCCAGGGTTTAGGGTTTTAAGAGTTACGATTTAGGGATTCAGGTCAGGGTTTAGGGTTTATGGTTTCGGGTCTGGGGTTAAGGGTTTTAGGTTTAGGCCTAGACTTTCAGATTTCAGGGTTAGGGCGCTTAGGGATCGCAGGTTTAAGATCTGAGAATGCTTCATCATAGCAATACGAATCGCAAAGCAGCTATGATAGCGAAACCGAAAACAGCAATGCTAAAGATAGGACACCCTCAGGGTGAAAGTAGCCCTCATACATGGTTTTGGTACCCAAAAGGCCCAACATGTCCTTTGAGAAGGAGTACTTGGACCTTTACGACCATTGTTTGGGCAAGTACCTCCCTTAAAAATACCTCAGACCCTTTGGGGAGGGTGCTTCAACGCATCGGTGGCTTTTTCCGGGCATACGATTAACGCCCAAGCCGCAGCTCACATGGCTTTCTTCACCATGGTCTGGAGAGGGAAATTCAGCCCATAGTTCGGTGAACGGGATTCGGTTTTATGTGAGTTTAATGGGTAGGGTTTTAGGGTTTACGGGTTAAGGCTTAAGGCTTTTGAGGGATCTGGTGGGCTGAAGCACCCCATTTGCCTAAACTATCATTCCAGAAAGAAGATACCAGCAGGGCTCATTCGCGGAGAAGCTGCAAAAGAGCAGTGGTGGCAGGACGCTGAGAGTTTAGGGGTTGGGATTTAGGGTTGGGTTTAGGGTTAAGGGCTCAGGTTTTCCTGTTGGTTAGGGGGGCAGGTTTCGGGGTTTAGGGCTCAGGAATGTTCAAGGTCATGGAACCCTGCAAACCCACTTAATGCCCCGACCTGAGTTCTTTCAGACCACGTCTACTATCAGATTCGGGTTGTGCCCTACGATATGGAAGCAACGTGACACCAACAAAACGAAGCTAGTTATGTGTCACTTCCTGCGTAAGCTCCTTGAGCCTAACATGCAACTTGAGACAAGTCCCAATGCCGACCATGGCGACTGGACGATAACAGGTACCGGTAATTAAGAACCCTAAATACTGAAGGTCAAAGACCAAGCCCTAAAGCCAAGATCCCTAATTCTGAAACTCCATATCCGAAACTTTCTACGCACAAAGCCTCCAGCCCCGAACACGTGTTTACGCGTTTGGGTTCCGTGACAGGCGACCCAGCTCTGCGAAGCACCCTTGGAGTTTAGGATTTAAGGCTTGCGCTCTAGAGGTTTAAGGTTTACGGGTTAGAGCTTAGGGGTTTAGGGGCTAGGGGTTCAGGGGTTAAAGTTTTCGAGGTTTAGGGCTTGGGATTTAGGATGGCTTAGGGGATTTGGGTTTCTCTGCAAGTCAATCAGTCAGAGCAATTCAGTCGAGAGACCCTGACTGCAGCTCTCTGGCCGAAAACGCTGTGACTCATGGCCCTAACCCTAAACCCTAAACCCTAAACCCCTAAACCCTAAACCCTAAACCCCTAAACCCCTAAACCCTAAACCCTAAACCCTAAACCCCTAAACCCTAAACCCTAAACCCCTAAACCCTAAACCCTAAACCCTAAACCGTATGAAGAGGGTTTAGGGTTTAGAGGCTTCAGGGCTCTAGGCTTGCAGAGTCAGTACATGCAGCTTTCGCATAGCTTCCTGCGCATCTTCTCTTCGACGTGGGCTGCTGTCAAGCCACTATGTGCCTAATACAGAGACCCTACAAATGAGAAACAGGGTGTCAAATCAATTAGATGTAGACTAAATGTAAAGGGGTACAAGATACCATTACTGAATCATTGCAGCTTGAGACATTTGTTCGGACCGATTACATCCCGACCCCTGCCCCCAAAAAAGCCTCTGAACCCCAGTGATCCCGGCCCGAAACCCTGGACGCCAGTGTCAGCAAACAATCGTATCTCGAAAATTGGAGTAGACTATCTGAACATGAAGACTACGGTGGTAGTCTTGCCAATGTGAGACCGGAGGGGAAAAACCGTGTCCCTTGAGGCACGTGGAATAAAACCCCCCCTAAACCCTAAACCCTAAACCCTAAACCCCTAAACCCTAAACCCTAAACCCTAAACCCTAAACCCTAAACCCTTAAACCCTAAACCCTAAACCTTAAACCCTAAACTTGGTTTCTCGGGCACTCGCATTCGACACGCGCCCGACCCCCGGCCGAGCCTGCCGGGCTTTTTTTGCCAATTTATGTGGGGTAGTTGTCAAAATTAGGGTCCCTTTTTGGTTCCCTAATCTAGTACGGCACCTAATATTTCGGGTACCCAGAAAGGGACCATAATTTTGACAACTACCCATATCTTCGATCTACATTTGCATTTTTCGGTCTGCTGATCTAGCAAAGCGTAGCTTCTGCGAGCAAGACACAACTGGCTAGCCGTGCAGCTCAGCCTCGGAGCACCAACATTTAGCAGTCATTAAGAGTTCATATTGAAACCGTATCCAAACCACGTCAAGAAATTATCCCATCAGCTGTCTGTAATGCAAAGCCCTGCCCCCCCCCGCCCCCGCCCGCTCCCTTCCACCCCCAGAGACTCCAATATCCCTTAATTAAGGAACATACCTTAAAATCATGAAAGGGGTCCTACTAATCCTTAATTTTTTAAGGAATATACCTTGAATCATATTAGGGGATATTGGAGTCTCTGGGCCTCCTTTCCTCCTCCCCCCCGCCGGCCGAGTTGGAGCTCCGGAGCCCGGCGACGGAGGCGGGCTGCGGCTCTGCGGCAAGTCGGACTCTTACTTGGAGGTTCATGGGTAGTTATAAGGGTCCCCTTAAAGGGTCCCTTTAAAGGGATCTATAGGGATTTATAAGGGTATAGGGTTTAGGTTCTGCTTGGAGGTTCATGGGTAGTTATAAGTAGGGTTATAAGTCCCCTGATATGGGTTATAAGTATAGATACCCTACTTATAACCCCAACTCGTAACTACCCCTGAACCTCCAAGTAGGTATCCTGATTGTAAACACCCCTTTCAACATGGGACCCCGAATTTCAAGAAAGCCCGGTGAGTCGGGGTGGAGTCTCCAGTTCTCAAAACCTCAGTTGCATTTACCCATAGGCCCCATAGTACTTCCTTTTTGGGGTTCATATATAGAATGTTATACGGTAATCCGAAAAAGGAACTAGCCTCTGGGTAAAGGGGTTTTGTGAAGTTGAGGATACCCTTCCTTCAAAGGGTCTTTACACTGAGGTCCCCCGAAGGTCCTACCATTTGATACGCAGTCTCTGCATGCTGCTAAGAAG